ATCGATGAGGGAGAGTCATCGATCAGCTGCCTCTTGCACACCCCCCACTGGGGATATGCCCACAACCAAGGCACATGCCCTTGACCAGAATCGAACCCGGGACCCTTGAGTCCCCAAGCCGACGCTCTATCCATTGAGCCAAACTGGTCCCGGCCACAATGATCATTTTAAAATAAAGCTTTTTATGGAAAGACATTTAGAATAATTTTATTAAAGCTCTAGCTGGTGTTGCTGATCAGTGGTTGGAAGTGTCAGCTTGTACACTGAAGGGTTATAGGTTTGATCCCTGGGTCAAGGGTAAGTATCTGGGCTGCAGGTTCAATCCCCAGCCCCAGTTGAGGCACATGTGGGAGGCAACCAATCTATCAATATGTGTCTCTCTTGTATCAATCTCTCTTTCTCTCATTCTCACCCTCCTTTCCTTCTCCCTTCCACTCTTTCTAAAAATCAATGAAAATAAAAATTCTCAGGTGAGGATTAACAACAAAAATAATTTCATTAGAGATGAAGATACACTTAGAGATCTGAGGACATGAAACACCAAAAGCCTTGTTTCATACTTTCCAAAAAAAAAAAAAAGTTTTAAAAAGGGCAGAAGAAACTCATGACAGTTAACTATTAAAATTATATGGGCAACATCCCATACCATATTCCAGAAAACAATGAAAATGAAGATTCAGAGGATCCAAGATGGCTGCGCCCAGGTGAACACCTAACTGCAGCTGCACACAACAATTTCAATAAAATACAACTAAAATATAAAACGGACATTGTCCAGAACTACAGGAAGGTTGACTGACTGGAAATTCTACAGCGAGAAGCAAGGAGAAAACCAGAAGGAGGCGCGGAGGAGCTGGAAAAGCCCAAGGTACGGAGACGCGGAGCGCGGAGAGGATGGAGCCGGAGAGGAGGGAGGCCGAGTGCCTGGCGGGCGTTCCCGAGCGGAAAGGAGAGAAAAGCTCCGACTGTGCTGGGCCCCCGACTGCTCTGAAACCCCAGTTCTAGGCCAGACCCCGGGGACTCAGGCTCAGCCATAGGGAGCCGGGCTGTAAGGCGGAACCCCGGGGAGAGACGAAAGGAGGTCCTGGAGGCGCGCACACTGAGCGCAGAGAAGGGACAGTCAGCTGTGCCGCGGGATTGCCCTGACGGGAAGGAGACCTGGGCTCCAGACTGCTCTGAACGCCACCTCCAACTCCACTTCCAACTGAACTGAACCCCAATACCGGGCTCATTGGGGGAGAGCATAGACTGTTTGCCAGCAGGCGAAAATCGAGGGCACCTTTCTCTCAGAGGCGCAGCGAGCACTGAAGGACCCGCATAGGGCGGGGCTGACGGAAGCCAAAGCTGCAGGCTCCACCCTGAAACCCCATCACATCTGTAACTGCGAAATGAGACAACAAAATAGATCACAAACGAAAGAAATGGAGGACAAAAAGCGTCTGGATATAGAGTTCAAATCTACGCTTATAAGGTTTTTCAAGAATTTCCTAGAAAAGATGGATAAGACCTATGAGGATATGAAAAGAGATCAACTAGAATTAATAAGGAGTCATCAAGAAATGATAAGGGATCAACAAGAAATAAAGAACACATTGTCTGAAATAAACAATATTTTACAGAGTCCTAAAAACAGAAGGGAAGATCGCAAGAATCAAGTCAAAGATTTCGAACATACAGAGCCAGAAGACACTCCTCCACAGAAGCTAGAAGGCAAGAGAATCCAGAAAATTGAAGATAATGTAAGAAACCTCTGGGACAACTTGAAGCGAACCAACATTAGAATTATGGGGGTGCCAGAAGATGAGAGAGAGCAAGATATCGAAAACATACTGAAAGAAATAGTGACAGAAAACTTTCCCCACCTGGTGAAAGAATTAGACTTACAAGTCCAGGAAGCGCACAGAACTCCAAACAAAAGGAATCCAAAGAGGACCACACCAAGACACATCATACTTAAAATTCCAAGAGCAAAAGACAAAGAGAGAATATTAAAAGAAGCAAGAGCAAAGAAGGTAGTTACCTATAAAGGAGCACCTATACAATTGTCAGCTGACTTCTCAACAGAAACCATGCAGGCCAGAAGGGAATGGCAAGAAATATTCAAGGTGATGAATAGTAAGAACCTACAGCCAAAGATAATCTATCCAGCAAAGCTATCACTCAGAATCGAAGGTCAGATAAAGAGCTTCGCTAATAAAAAAAGCTAAAGGAGTTCATCAACACCAAACCAGAATTATATGAATTGCTGAAGGGGGTTCTTTCAGAAGAGAAGGTAAACAAAGATAAAAATTATGATCAACAAATATATAACTATCAACAAGTGAATCTAAAAACCAAGGAAATTTTTAAAAAAATCTGATGAACAATAGTAACTGTTGAATATAATAGAATCAGAGGTATGGAAGGGGAGTGAACTGACGATTCTTGGGGAAAAGGGGGGAGGGGGGCGTGGGAAGAGACTGAACATAAACTGTGCACCTATGGATGAGGACAATGGGGAGTGGGGAAAGGGCAGAGGGCGGGGTGGGAACCTGGTGGAGGAGAGCAATGGTGGAGGGAAAAAAAGGAACATTTGTAATAATATGAACAATAAAAACTTATTAAAAAAAAATATCCTAAAATGTTGGTCAAAATGCCAGAAATGGCCAGACTAAAGATAAAATAAATGCTGACAAAAAGAAAAAAAAAATGAAGATTCACCAAACAAGCCCTATATATTGTTCATCTATGTACTTGTCATCACTTTAAAAAATCTATAGCCAGTCAATGTGGATGAGAACTGACCACTGACTGTCCAAGTTATAGACACACACACACACACACACACACACACACACACACACACTAAACTGAGATCCCTAGGAAAACTACATTTCACATCAAGATCTAGGACATACACACATACTCAAAGTAAAAGTTTCACAAAAACAGAATTTCTATACTCTTTTGTAATGTGTGCTATTTTATTCTATATACTTTAATTTTAAAACACCCCAGCTACTTGTGACTATAAACTTTTCATAACTGACCAATGGACCTGTACTTCAAGAAAACATTTTTCTACCTGGCTATTAGAATGTTCTTTCTAAAATACCATCATTATTTTTCTTTAAATTCTTCAATGTCTTCCCAGTACTCTAAGAATAAAGACTTTTATGATCCTCCATTATCCAGCTCTTTTATCATTGTAGCTTCATCTGTTTCTGCTCAAACTGGTTCGTTTTCATTTTGCAATCCAACCTTACCTACTTAGTTTCTGGACTCAGAATGTATCTAGTGTTAGAACACTTCCCCACATTGTCTTGTAGCGAATGCCTGCTCATTCTAACTTCTCAGCTCAGACTTCACTCCCCTCTGGATGCTTTCCCTGGATGCTGGGCCTGGGCTAGGTGCCCCTCCTCTGTGCACACTGGACTTCCTCAGTGCAATGTTTATCACCCTGTATTTCAACTATGACAGTGCTACTTAAGTACTATTTATGGGTTTTGTCCCCAGAGTATACCTAACAGGCCTTCAGTAAATATTTATTAATAAATGAAACCATTTAGTGGGATTCCCATGTTGTTGGATATATGGGTATTTGTTTTATTTTTATTTATTTTTAATATATTTTATTGATTTTTTACAGAGAGGAAGAGAGAGGGATAGAGAGTTAGAAACCAATGAGAGAGAATCATCGATCAGCTGCCTCTTGCACACCCCCTACTGGGGATGTGCCCGCAACCAAGGTACATGCCCTTGACCGGAATCGAACCTGGGACCTTTCAGTCAGCAGGCCGATGCTCTATCCACTGAGCCAAACCAGTTTCGGCTTTATTTTAATCCTCACCTGAGCACTGATCTTAGAGAGAGAGAGAGGAACTGGGGGTGTGGGGGGAGAGAAACATCATTATGAGGGAGAAACATTGACTGGCTACCTCTATATGCACTCCAGCTGGAGATTAAACTGCAACCTAGGTATGTGCCCTAACCTGAAATGGAACCCACATTTTAATTTAATTTTTATTTTTTTCTTTGTATACAGGACAATGCTCCAATCAAGTGAGCATTGGTATCTAGTTCTTTCACACCATGGTAACATGCTATAAAATTTTAAAGGCACAAGACTGGAACATTAGTTTCTAGACTTTAGCTAATGTGAAGGTTTCTAGAATTTAGTGATGTGTGAAGTCGCATGGGATGCTGTGTTCAAGGTTCTCTAGATCTCTCATACTGAGACATAACCTAGCATCTCTAAGTCTTAATTTCCTCATCTGAATTCCAATACCCATTAACATTTACTCTTGGATATCTCCCAGCATCCCCAATTCATGTCACTTACAGGGATAACAATAGCACGTTATAGAACTATTGTAAGAAGACAGTGAGTTAAATAATAAAATAATACTTGAAAGATTATTTTTTATCTACTATTACTATGTCAAGTTTTGCCAACATGCTAAGTTACATTAGTTAAGGAGAGCAAGAAGAATGAAGAATAGGAAGAGAGAGATATGATAATTCTGTATGAGCAAACCTCATGATATTTTGACTGTTCAGATAGTTGTTTTCTTAGAACTTTAGCATTCCTTTAAAAGAAAACTAAAATCTCATTAATGTAACTAATCTGCAATATCAGTTGTAGAGTATTTTATGAACTTCTTGGTGGGGGAAGGGGACCTCTATACTCCGGTAAACATCATCAGATTGACATATGGTGGTTTTGCTATAGTGGGGAGGAATAACAACCCCCCACCCCAAATAAAAAGAAGAGCCATTTCTGAAGTCTGTGTCAGCCAGCCCTCCAGTGCTATCTGACTTCTTATGTAGCTACAGGATTATACACATCTGTCTTCATTTATCTCAGTCACTCCTATAAAATGGTGCAGAATTTCTTCCTCTAAATGTTAGCAGGCTACAAAATGCCCAAAGAACAATGGTGCAAACATTTTGGATATAACATCTGATATAAAAATAAAAATTCAAAATACCCACCCACAAATCAGACTGGCACACTGAAAACAAATTACTCAGGAATATATTTCTGATTTTTACCTTACAACCTATTTTGAAGATGGCAGAAATTTATTGAGGAATACAGAATCAGCAAAATAATGTAGATTAATACATCAAAGGTGTAATATAGTTGTGTAAATGTTTCATGAAAGAATATAAACATTTCATTAATTTTCACTACATTCATTCACTTTGTGTATACATCCTATTATTTGCCAGGCACTTGTGCAGTTGCTAGGAATACAATGGTGAAAAAGACAAAGTCGTACTTCAGGAGGTTTACATTTCCTGACTGCAAGGGAGAAGATAAAAAGGGCAAGTAATTAAATAAGAATGTCAGGTACTGATATATGTTATAAAGAACATAAAGCAAATTATATAAAAGTACCTTAAGAGGTTGTCATGGAGGGACTTAGAGTATAATTCTGGAGCTATAATGTCCATGTACAAATTCAGGCTCTACCATTCAATAGGTATATGATGCCAGGGCAAGCTACCCATCCTCTCTATGCCTCAGTTTTCTCATCTGCTGAATGGGAATAACAATAGTACTTACCTCATGGGTTTGTTGCATTAAGTAATGTGTGCAGAACAGTGCCTGGCACATAGTGCTATGTGTTTTCAAATACAAATTGTTTTCCTCTCTGAGTAACTCACATTGAATCAAGACCTTAATATTAGGAAGAAGTTCAAAATAATATGGATAAATTAAAGTACCTCTATACCAAATAAAGAAGAATAAAATGCAGTTCTCTTCTTTATATTTCCATGCTATACAGTAATGAAAATATATGAAGATTAAAACATAGTAGCACCTTTCATCACCCGTCTTCACATTCATCAGAGCTTTCTTCACTTGGCTCCTCACTGCTTTCTCCTTCACTCTCCCCGCTACTGTCTTCTTCACTCTCTTCCTCACGATTCTGAGCTTCCTCTGCCACAGAAAGAGAATTGCTTAATATGTTTCTTAACATTTTCACTCTTTTAAAAAATTGAAATTTTCCTTGCTTCTGCCTCCACTAAGAAATATATATTTTTGGGACATGAGAACTGAGCTGAACTTTGTTAACTATAAAGGGTTAAAGTAGTAGTACAAGTAAGACTATATTCTTACCGGATGTTTGTGGATTGAAAGTAAATTTACAATATTTATAGATCTATAAAATATTTTTTATTATGAATGCAATTCTTAAACAGAATAGGATAATACAGAGGGTACTAGCTTTCTTTGGAATTGTGGGATAGTCCCTTTAATACAAGGGGCCATTGGCATGTTCTATTCCCTCTGAAGACTGTCATGCAAATACCTGTGCCCAGGAAGCCCACTTTGTTTGGGTAGTCCCACCCCACAGAGAAAAGGAAGTCATCTTGACCATCCACAAAGGACAAGCTGGTTTCATTTAACCATCCAAGATGACCATTCAGCCTTTTCTTAACCACATCCTGAGGATGTGCTTTGCCAGACTCTGGGAGAATGGTTTTTAAATAGCAACTGCTCATAGTTCTATGAGAAAGAATGAATTTCAATTTTTAAGTTTACCCATCAGCAACATTTCTTCAATAAGAGTTAAGAACTCCTTGGCCTCAGGATTTTCTGGTTCATAGATTAGGACTGAAAATAGACAACAGAGTGTGTGTTACTAATGGTCAAAGTGTTTCAGCAAACAGGTTCCTCAGAATGAGATTAAAACTGTCCATCAGAGTAAGGAAAAACGCACAAAAGCAATAAACACCAACAATTACACCATGGGTGTATTTAAGTGCAAATAGAGAATGATATAAAGTAGTTTTTAATAGCAGAAGAGAGGATAAGTTAACTAAAGTACAACAGAAAATATTCAAACTGAAGAAGAGAAATATAAAGCAATGGAAAAACAAAACAAAGCTGAGTATAAGATACATGTGGGACACTATGAAAACAAAGTCTAATTTATGTGTAATTGAAGATCCAGGAAGAAAAGAAAGAAAGAGAATAGGGTAGAAGTGATATTTTAAAAGATGATGGCTGAGAATTTTTCAAAGGTAATGAAAATATCAACCCTCAGAACTAAGAAACTCAGGAAACCTGTCAGGCCTCCCTTTGTATAAAGACAAAGAAAAACTACAACTATCAAGTCAAACCACTAAAAACCAAAGATAGAAAGAAAAAAAAAAATAGGGGTAATATTCTTCTACTCAAAAATGTCCAATGGTTTGCCACTCAGAGAAAAAGTGAAGACCCTAAGCTGTGAAAAGGTGCCATGTAATCTGCACAAACTTAACCCATGACCTCTGTGACCTCATCTATCACACTTCCTTTGCTTATTTTCTCCAGTTATATGTTCCTGGTTGTTGTCAGGCACACTTGCCTCTCAGCACATTTGCTATTAGTCCTGCCTGGAACTCACTATTTTCCAGATACCCACATGACTAGTTCCTCAACTTCAAGTCTTTCCATGAGGTCTTCCGGGACCATCTTATTTGAAACTGCGTTACCTCCTCCCAGGACTTTGTATTCCTTCTTTCCTATTTTCTTCTCTTTAAAAAAAAAAAAATTTTTTTTTATTGATTTCAGAGAGGAAGAAAGAGGGGGAGAGAGAGAGAAACATCCACGATGAGAGAGAATCATGGATGAGCTGCCTCCTGCAAGTCTCCCACTGGGGATCAAGCCCACAACCCAGGCAGGTGCCCCTGACCGGAACTGAACCTAGGACCTTTCAGTTTGCAGGCCGATGCTCAAGCGACTGAGCCAAACCAGCTAGTACTGTGCTTTATTATAGAACTATTATTTATGACACACTCTTTAAATGAGTTTTATCATCTGCCTGATACTAGATATAAATGTGGGATCATTATATGTTTTGTTGACAGCTGAATTTCCAGTGCCTGACATATGCAGGCCTCAAATATTGGTGGGATAATTGCATGTTAAATAAGGTTTGATGCACTACCTGACAGCAATTACCTATTATCATAAAGGTAAGGATTTTGACTTACCTTCATGGTATTAGTGGTAATTAGTCTTTTTTACTAGGTCTCATACCAATCAACCTAATTTACTGTCAAGGAAATTCACTGGACTTAGGATAATCAAACCATCTTATATATTATGGAATGTATTTAGAAACAAAGTAAAGATTAGAAAACAAAGTATTTTGTACTTACTCATCTGACATAATTTTTTAGCCAAATGGTAGTCTTGGCTCATTTCTGCTCTCAGGAACTGGAATACATGAAGAAATTCTTTAGGTAAGTAATTTCTGAGAGAATTTAAGTGTCAATTGTAAACACCTTAGAAAATATTCTATTAATGATGAACTATTTTGCTTTTAATATTTACACATGTTTTTCCAGGAGTGAGTCTGTAATCAGTTAATCAATTAAGAATATTTAAGGTCTTCTCATGGCAAGGCAATATATGCAGAATGATATCTCTACTTTTCTGCAGCCACACTATATAGACACTACTGAATAATCTGAGGATACATAGGCCGATTCAATCGGAGAAGATAGTGAAGACATTAATCACCTGAATATTTTTTTGGTTCAGATACAGCTTTTATTTGTGAACTTAGTCCATAATTACATGATCATACTTAGTAAAAAAATGAAGATTTACAATTATGTATATTCACTGTTTTTTAGTATTACACTCATACCATTCTGTTTTTACTTGATCCCTGGTGGGGAGTGTACAGGAGGCAGCAGATCAATGATTTTCTATCATTATTGATGTTTCTATCTTTCTCTCCTCCCTTCCTCTCTGAAATCAATAATAATATTTTTAGAAAAAAGATAACTGACCATTTTTAAAACAAAAATAACAATGCATTGTGGAGCTTATACATAGAAATAAAATGTTTTGACAACAAAAGCAAGAATGAGAAGGGGACATAAAAATGTACTATTATAGCCGGCACCGGTTTGGCTCAGTGGATAGAGCGTCGGGCTGCGGACTGAAAGGTCCCAGGTTCGATTCCCGTCAAGGGCATGTACCTTGGTTGCGGGCACATCCCCCATGGGGGTGTGCAAGAGGCAGCTGGTCGATGATTCTCTCTCATCGACGTTTCTAACTCTCTATCCCTCTCTCTTCCTCTCTGAAAAATCAATAAAATATATATTTTTAAAAATGTACTATTATAAAGTTTGTACAACATATATGAAGTTGTGTAATATTAAGTAATGGTAGACTGTGACACAACAATAAGTGAGGTAAAATTGTTTTGTTCTCTACAGAATTACCAGTAAATGTACAATTTTGTCCTGTGATGTTTCAGGTTTCAATGCCTTTGCATATGCTACAATATTTCCTGTATTAGGAATGCCTTCTCCTCTTGTTTACTCTTCCTTCTTCCTTTAAGTTTCTAAGATGTATGTATGTCTCTTCCTTTTTATCCCATTTCTCCTGTTTCTTTTCTTAATTACTTAATCCTCTGTTCCCAGAGAATTTCATAAACAATTCTACTAGCATAATTTCATTTTATTGTAAATTATATTATATAAATAATATGTGCCTGTTATTTCTCAAAGGTGGGAACTGTCTTTATTTCTACACATTCCCAGTAACTAGCATGGTGCCCATGTTTATGTACAAAGCATTCCTTTAAACAATCCTTGAAGAGTTTTATACCAAATCTACTCTTATTCCTGCTCCTTTTATCAGAATACTCTCAGGCAGTTCTAGAATCTTCTCTCACCGCTCCCCTGGTGAAAGTTGTGAGAGAGATGAGAAGTCAGGTAAGCATCTGTGTGTGGCAAGGATCTTTTTACTATTTTTTAAATCCTCAAGGCTATATACTAGTTATTTTAATATGTTTAAGTTTCTTAAATTATAATGCATAAGTAAAGCTTACTTCTGCCATTAACTCTAATGGGGCACGAATACCCTTTTTTGGGCCACTGTCTTCATTATTTTCATCACTGCTGTCATCTTCACCATCATCTTTTGTTGACTCGGACAACTTATCATTAATAACCTGAAGGCTATTTTCATTATTTTTCTCCTGCTCTGCAATGACTTCATCTTTGCCCACCTCACCTAAAACAACATACATAATTAATCAGTAAATACTAAAAATTCAAAAATTTTAAATGCTCCTAAATGACAATGTAACAAGTGTGCATGTTGTCTATATAGCTTTCTATTCTGGAGTTGTGTGTGCTTTATTTTTTCTTGATTAAACAGCACTGATTTCCATTTTCAAAAAAGGTAATAAAACTGCCAAATGAAAGAGGAAAAAAACCCAAATCTATTAACACTGAGCTGATGTTAATGTTAACTGTTTAGTGCTTTGAATTTTAATAGATAATATTTTTGTTTATAAAGAATTTCAAGAAAAAAGAAATTAATGCTATTCTACCTCCAGAAACATATTTCTTAAATTATTCTTATAGAAGGTAAATACAGAATAAAGAGCTTGGAGAGTAAAAGAAAGGCTGGAGAGGCTGAAAAGCAAACAGTCCTTAGGTCATGTTACTTCTTGGATACTTGAGAATAAAGTCTCTCTCTCTCTCTCTCTCTCCACACACACACACACACACACACACACACACACACACACGCTGAAAGAAACACCTGTGGATATTCTAGATATAACCAGAGGTTACATAACATTAGTAATAATTTTCCTTAATGTTAAGTCACAGTACCTATGACCAAACACAGGTGACCCTACAATTAAAACTAAGTACTACTGAGTGACTACCCATTTAGTGCCTGGCACTATGCTGAGTCCCAGCTTCACAAAAATGAATGGTCCTTGATCTGAGAGAACTTGCAAAAACTCTAACTGGGGAGTCAGAAACATATGGATAATTATAAAAGAGTATGGAACAACAGTGATGAAGATGTGTAGTAGGAAAATGGGAGAACAAAGGAGGGCCATATCCCTGCCTTGCAAGTGGTCAGGAGCTCTCCAGTCTGAGTGGATGTTTTTCCTGGAAGAGGGAACAGCATGAGCCAATACAGAAGCAAGAATGTGTGTGGACTATAATCACTCTGATGCTGCTTAAGGGTCATGGTTATGGCTGGAAGTCTAGTAGGGGCTAGTTGGATAATGGAGAGTCTTGGAGACCAGAAGCCTTGGGACTATCTTAAGAATGAAGGAGCTATTAATGAAAGATTTTATGTAAGGAAACAAGGATGATCAATTTTGCACTTCTGAGGGAAAACTTGGGAGAGCATGTTAAAAAGTGTATTTGAGGGAAGACAAAAATAAAGAGTAAGGGAAGAGATTAGAGTTATCTCAAAATCCAGATAAGAGCCGAAACCAGTTTGGCTCAGTGGGTAGAGCTGCGGAGGTCCCAAGTTCGATTCCGGTCGGGGCATGTGCCTTGGTTGCGGGCATATCCCCGGTGGGGGGCATACAGGAGGCAGCTGACCGTTTTTTCTCTCTTGTCGATGATTCTAACTCTCTGACCCTCTCCCTTCCTCTCTGTAAAAAATCAATATAATATATATTTTTTAAAAATTCAGGTAAGAGACATGCTACGGCACTGGTAAAGTAGGAATGGAGAGGAAGTGAGAGATAAGTATTTAACAGATAAAATCTTTTTGGTACAAACTATTGAAACACTTTCTAAACTTAATTCTTATACTATCTTCATCCATTTTGCCTTATATATATCTCACCTATACTAATTACTTAATATTCTCCTTTGAATCTACTTTTTTAACTTATATACTTGTTAGATCATAAATATCATCCACGAAACTGATGGATTAATAAAAGTAACATATAATAATCCTAATACATCATATACCATTATTCTTCAGAATACTACATATATTAACTCATTTTCTCTCAACCCAAAGAGGTTTTACTTTTATTTCATGCATAGATGAAATTGAGGGACAGAGATTAAATAACCTGCCCACCTTCTCACTGCTAATTAAATGGTAGATCTGGGAGTCAGTTAGGCTCCAGAGTTCATTTTATTATTATTAAAAATATATTTTTATTGATTTCAGAGAGGAAGGGAGAGGGAGAGATAGAAATATCAATGATGAGAGAGAATCATTGATTGGCTGCCTCCTGCACGCCCCCTACTGGGGATTGAGCCTGCAACCCGGCATGTACCTTTGACCAGAATCAAACCCAGGACCCTTCAGTTTGCAGGCTCTATCCACTGAGCCAAACTGGCTAGGGATATATTATTAACCACATCTTTTTTTCCCCCAACACATATAAAAATATGCTACTATTAAATTTTTTTTAAAAAGTTTATTATATGTTTCCTAAATGCATCTCTTTGGGAAACACTATTGAATGAACTTAGAGGACTCCTTTTGCTCTATGGATAGCTCTGTTTCATACTAACTTGTGCTACACCATCCCTTTCTTGTCAGATATTGAGTATCTGGGAAGTCTTATGAGATGCCTTTTGGAGCTACTCTAAATAACGTAGAAAACTTGTGTAGAAAGGAGAAAATAAGGAAATCCAGGAAAGCTTAAGAGAAAATAATGTTAAGAGAACATAAACCAAAAAAAGTCTTTCCAAGAGTAGGATGGCTTGGCTACCTGACTCTGTGTCCTTTATGGTGTCCATCAGCTCACAGCCACCCTGATCTCCCAGTGTGTATCCAGCCTGCTCACTGACTCATCACACTGATGTCATCAGGGGAAGATCAGAATAAGGAATTCAAGACTGTGTGATGTCACAGGAATTGTCTCACCTCAGTTAATTCATAAACACACACTGAGCTTCATGAGAGAGGTTTCCTGATCTCTAGATCTAAGGTGGTCCTCTCCCACGTGGCCTTTATTAACATTGAAACATCCATCACCACCTGACATGGGGTTGCTTTTTTGTATTTGTTTTATATTGTTTATTGATTTTTAATAGTTGGCTATCTCACACTAGAATGTAAACTTCATAAGGCAAGAACCTTGCCTATTTGCTAACTACTGTATCCAAAGCTTCTAAAAGAAGTGAATGGCACTCAATAAACCATTGTTGAATGAATGGAACTTGTTAATGCTTTCATTAGGTATTTTAATTCATTCTAAAATTTAATACTCTATTACTATCATTTCATATATTTTCCCATTGATCCTACACCTGACTGCATATCAGAATCATATGGTACATGAATTTGAAAAAGTATCAATTCCTATGATCTTCCCCAGACCTACAGAGTTGTCAACATCCTAAAAATAGTGAAAGAGGGCTGAATTAAAAGCAACAGTTGCTCTAAAAAAAAACACCAAGTGTTATTACCTGTTCTTTCTTTTAAGAAAGAAGATGACCATAGTTTTGACTGTAGATTTGTTTCTGTATCTTTATGTTCAATACTCTTTGAAGATACTTTATTTTCAGTATTCTTTAAAAAGACTTTCTTTTCAATATTTTTTGAAGAGACTTCCTTCCTAAATGTTAAAGTAGATAGTCAAAATACTTTCCTAAGTCAAAATTATGTTTAAGGCTTTATTTGGGTACACACACACACACACACACACACACACACACACACACTTATTTAATGTAAGCACACAGTATGATATACTAATAATAAACTAAATAGCTAAAATGCAGTATCTTCTTTGTGGTAAAGTATTAAAAATAAATTTTACTGGTGATTAAAATTCTATTTCTGCTTGGCATTTGCCATTGTATAATGATTTCTAGAATGTTTTCAGAATTCTTTAACACAGAGCATATAAGCAATCAGTACTATGAGTGTCTTCTGATATATATATACACACAGAAAAAACTATTTAAGGAATACCAGCCTTTTTTAAATGTTGTAAATCCAATTTGTTGTAAGTCCATAAAGTACCATATATTAGAAGACTACCATCATTTAAGAAAAAAAAGCGGTTGCTAAGTTTAAGATGCCATCAATTGTAAAAGATATTAAACTATGATGAAGACATGTGTACATATTTTAAATATGAAATATGTTACTTATATATTGGCTAAGTTATACCCCAAGTAAGAAAATTTAGCTAGTATACAGTAGTTTTGGGTACTTGCTTTTTAAATAGTATTAATGACACAACAGAAGGAAACATTCAATGTAATAGTAATAAAAGGGATGTTACTATTTAAGAAGCATTAACATGCCATAAAAATACATATGAGAATTGGGGCCAAATCTTCATTTTAACAATAAAATATGAAATGCCTTTCTGCTCATTTTCTGTAGTCTTTCTATATACAGTTTTAAAGACTCAAAGGCTCAAAGGCCAATCTCCTCTTCAACTGTAATCTATTGATTTCCATTTGCTAAAGTGATGTTATTTAAGGCAATAGTGCCTCTAACCACTAAATAAGGTAGATAACCAATATACTCCAAAAGAACTGTTATTTAAATACAGTTACAATTAAGGAAAGATTCAAAGTTTTTTTTTATGTAATATCCTTTGGAAATGAAAGATATTTAATTTAGTATCTGCTAAGGTTAGAGAGTCAGTCCAGTTAGATATCTCACTGGAGGATATTTATGCTAAAGGGTAAAAACCTAGGTTTTAGAATTGTTTCTTAAGAGCACTGGGCATATTTATGGAATGCCCCCAAATTTCATAGGAATTAGCAACTTTTTTAGGAAGTTTATATTCTAAACTATGTTTTAAAATGATTTATAATTTGTAAAAAATGGGCCTAAAGCCGAAACCGGTTTGGCTTGGTGGATAGAGCGTCAGCCTGCGGACAAAGGGGTTCCTGGTTCCGTTCTGGTTGGGGGGCACGTGCCTTGGTTGTGGATGCGTCTCCAGTAGGGGGTCGTGCAGGAGGCAGCTGATCGATGTTTCTTTCTCATCAATGTTTCTAACTCTCTATCCCTCTTCCTTCCTCTCTCTAAAAAAAATCAATAAATTATATTTTTTTAAAATGAGCCTAAAAGTTGATCAAAAACTACTTTTCTAAGAATGTCTTAGTTATACTTAGAGAAACTTGTGTTGCTGACATGTAAAGTTTGCTGGCCAATTCTTGGTCTTGTCCTTAAAGTGTAAAAATGGGAACTAAAAAATAAAAATAAAAAAATAGCTTATTCATTTAGTTTATTTTATTCTTTTAATATATTTTATTGATTTTTTTACAGAGAGGAAGGGAGAGGGATAGAGTTAGAAACATTGATGAGACAGAAACATCTATTAGCTGCCTCTTGCACACCTCTACTGGGGATGTGCCCGCAACCAAGGTACATGCCCTTGACTGGAATCGAACCTGGGACCTTTCAGTCCACAGGCCAATGCTCTATTCACTGAGCCAAACTGGTTAGGGCTAAATGACTTAATCATTTTAGAAAATATAAAACATATAATTATGGAATAACATAGATATAGTGTTTTCAACCTCAGAGTATTAAGTGCAGTGGGTCTGCTTCAGCCATTTCCTCCTCACATCTTTAAGTATGCTCAGAAGCTTAACCAAAAAACCCAACAGATCAAAGTTCAAGATCTATAAAACTTTGTTCAGCATTAAAGATATATTTTACCTTCACTACTGAAAAGTTTGTTAAATGCAATTTGTTGGGTGGACAAAATCTCTCACACATGGATTAATGGAGGAAAAGGAAATGATAAATGTGAGTTTTATGTGGAGAGTGTGAAATTCATGGTTTATAAAGTCCTTGCAGCTCCAACTAGATGAAGAATCAACCAAATTAAGGCAAAAACTGGTGGGGAAAGAAAAGTTCTTGTTTTCCTCTAACCCAAGCTTGATAGGATCTTATGGCAAATTCCACTTGACAGTCAGACTATGGAGCCAACAGGAGTTGGAAAGTACAATCTGAAGCTACACTGAGAAAATTCATCAACTTTGCAGTTCAGTCACACTAGCTCCCAAACAAAGGTCACACATGATTTTCTATTTTCTTGCTCATTTTTTTTTTTTTTTCAGGACTGATCCCGTTTGCCTTCAATTCTGGGTAAGGAACCTGAGGTGACACCACACAATGGTGAGGCTTATTGGCTACACTAACTATCCACTTCAAACAATCAAACCAAACCTAAACTCTTCTATGCAAGTAAATTTAAGGGAATGTTATCATCTGACCCTTTCAAAAAGTAGTTTGATGAGCAGATGCAATTACTAATGAGGTTAAGGAGAAAAGTAGGCACTCTGCTTTTCTCTTTTGGGCCTGGCTGCCTTTGATTTATCCCTGGGGTATAACTATTTCAGGGTGTGAGTCACTCCTGTTCCAATTCCAACATTGCTTATCCCAGTCTCAGAACACAGGGCTCACAGCAGACAAAACAATTTATTTTCATTAATGACCTATTAACTTCTGTTACTATTATTGGAAGTTATATTTCCCTCAAAGACTACTAAAATTGTCTTAGATTTTTAAATTTAAATGTTTTTAACGATGTAATCTATATATATAAAAGCCAAGTGAACAGAATGACCAAGTGACCAGAACGACTGGAATGACCTGTCACTATGATGCACACTGCGGCAGCCAACCAGCCCCATTGAGGCCCCGATTTGTTCCCTCAACCTCCCTCGGCCCTTCCCCCCCAGCTGGTTCGGCCTCTGATAGGCCCTCCCAACCCAGATCGGGGGTTGGGCTGCCCGGCCAACCTCCCGTGGCTCCCCCCACCCCCAGCTGGCCCAGCCCCCATTCAGTCCCCCCATCCCGATTGGGGGTGGGGCTTGCCAGCCAAACTCCATGGCCCCTCCCTCTGGCTGGCCTGCACCCTGATTGGTCCCCTCCCCCAATCCCAATCAGGGACGGGACAGCTGGACCTCACCTGTGCACAAATTCATGCACCAGGCCTCTAGGAGGATATAAGTATATATATATTTAACAGAGCATTTATTTTTTCTGGTTGTCTATAAGATTTAATCTGAAGTACCGGTATATAGATTCTCATCATTGATCTGCTATACATTACTCTCACTTTAATATAAGAATATGTTTTTAACATATAATTTACAACAAAGCCAAGGCTTTTAATTTTTAGGTTTGACAGCATAAAGTTAAAAATATATGTTGCATTACATGAAATTTTTCCCAGCCAAAATATTCACAATAAGCCAAAATAATATTAACTTAAATAGAATCACATCAGAATGGTGCTTGCAAACCTGTTAATAATTGATCTCTATGAATCTGTTTTATGATCAGCTTTCAAAATGTAATTTTTCATGGATTAAATGATAGAATATTTTCTTCAGGTGGTAGCAGATGATCAGATCAGGAAGGGCTTTGATAAATGAGCAGAATCAGCTACTTTAGCTACTAAGTTTAAACTGAATTATGACTCTTTTTATCACTAATCTCTTCATCTACTTGGGGTGATAATGTGTTTTCCTTATTTACTAGTAATGAATCATCTCATAGTAAATGAAAATCCTGTTTATAAATATTCATTTAAAGAGATAGTCTGAAATAAATGAGCAAGTATCAAAGGGAAACAAATGAGCAATGAGGCCCTGGCTGGTCTGGCTCAATGGATAGAACACTGGCCTGCAGACTGAAGTTGTCAAGGGTTCAATTCCAGTTAAGGTCAAGAGCACAAACCTCGCTTGCAGACTCCATGCCTGTCCTGGTCCCTGCCCTGGTCGGAGTGCATGGGGGAGGCAGTCAATAGATGTGTCTTTCTCTCTCTCTCTCTCCCCCTCCCTTCCATTCTTCCTAGAAAAAAAAAAAAATGAGCAATAAGAATTACATAAGTAAAGTACAAAATCCTTGGTGTTTAAGCATTTAAAAGAAGTGAATATTATCTATATCTTTATAATTTTATGAAAATTCATGTTTCATTTTAAATGTCCTTTTATCTAGTAACAATTGCTTTGACTGAAGCCAAAGCCAAAGTGCTAATCCATGTACTTCTGGCCTTTCAAATTTAATTGGGTGACAAATGATTGTATTATCTAATTCTAATTGCTCAAAAGGCATGTGATAGGTCAGTGGCACAACCAGAGACATTTTCTTACTCTGACATTGTTTCATTTGCTTCAATCATCACTTTTTCTGAAAGAGAAGAAAAAAAACACCCTCAGTATTTTATCGATAGGGATGTTCCTAACAGAAATTCCTAACTGGCAAATATTTAGGCATTTTTTGAACGACAGACAATATAATAAAAGATTAATTGCTAAGTCTTTCAATCACACTCAACCATCCCAGTAAACTATCTTCTTAATATTTAAGACAAAACGGTATTTAAACATATTCTTTTTAAGTAATAAATCATTTACCCTTTGGATCAAACACCAGCAACTTGCCATTCTGTCTATATTTTGATGCCTAAAATAGAAGCAGAAATTAAAACTAGCATTATCATTATTACTTTCATTTGAGGTGTTTGAAATGATTTATTCATAGTCTTATATAACATTTTTTGTTATCTATGCTAAAAGGTAACTTTATCCTAAAGCAATTATTAAAAAAAAACTATGTAAGTTGATGGTAAAAAAGTTTGTGTACTCTTACCTTTACAGCATCTGTCTTATCTAGATAATTCCTGCAAAAACCAGAATATTTACTTCATAAGTCTTTGAACACTTGCATAAATTTAGAATCTAAATAAAATAGAATGCAGAACTCAGTTTTTCATTAGAATATTAAGTATATTGTTTTTGTATTTGGTAGATTATTTCCATCCTAACTGAAAAAACCTAATTTTCTGGATGATAAAACTAGATTAAAAAAAAAAAAAAAAGGCATATAGAAATTAATCCTTTGTCCTCTTTTATCTTAGGAATAATTTTGCATGTTAGAAAAGTAATAGGTTAAATAAGCCACTAACTCTGTTACTATTTGGTTTTATAAAACCTCTCTAGCCCTAGCCCATCTGGCTCAGTGAATAGAGCGTTGGCCTATGGACTGAAGGGTCCCAAGTTTGATTCCGGTCAAGGGTACGTACTTCAAGGGCACATACCTCAGTTGCAGGTTCCTCCTGGGCCCAGGCTTTGGTCGGGGCTTGTGTAGGAGGCAACCAATCAATGTGTTTCTCTCACATCAATGTTTCTCTCTGTCTTTCCCTCTCTCTAAAACTCAATGGAAAAATATCCTCAGGTGAGGATTAAAAATAAACCACCACTTACACACACACGCACTTGGTCACCAGATCTAGATCCAAATACAATCAATAGCAGATTAAGGATTCACCTTTCTTACTGAGCTGACCCTAAAAATTATTAAATTCATCTTGGCTCATGTTTACACCAGCTTTTGTCTCCCCTACTTCAACAAAACAAGATGTGAGCTAACCTGCCTGCCAGATTTGAGTTGATCCATATTATGAAAAAATCTTTATAGAGTGTATATAAGCCAGAAGAAGATATTGCATTTCTAATAAAATATTATTTCAATAAAAACATTTAGAAATTGCCCTAACTGGTTTGGCTCAGTGGATAGAGCGTCGGCCTGCAGACTGAAGGGTTGTGGGCACATCCCGAGTAGGAGGTGTGCAGGAGGCAGATGATTGATGTTTCTCTTTCATTAATGTTTCTAACTCTCTATCTCTCACCCTTCCTTTCTGTAAAAAAATCAATTAAAAAATATATATACACATTTAGAAATTAACCTTTGATTTTTCTCCAGACAAATAATCCTTTACCTTATAAATTCCCTTATGTTTATTAACACATAAATTAAAATGTTTTCTCTGTGAAGTTTTATCTTTCCTACGTTACCCTCCGTAGACTGATTTTCCTACAAGTTAGCCCTTTATGAATTTACATAAATTTCATTCTAATTGCATGGAGAAAAATCAGCTCATACAGTTTTTTATGTTTGAGAGAGGACACACTTAAACTTTTCATAGCTAACAATTCACTTGTCCCCAAATCCCAAGCCAGATTCTCAAATTGTTATTAGTAATACATACCTAGGGATTTCTGGAATACAAAATGTAGGGCCAAATCTGTGGGCAATAAAAGAAAAGCTTCATTATTTTGTATTAAGTTTTTCTCTTTTTAAAACCAGCTCCCTCACACTGATCAGTAGTATGTAAACCTTCGCCTGGAGCTCTGTTTTCCGGGCAACCCTAACCAAGCCAGACATTATATGTATTAATTTGATTATCCCTCTGAGAAGCTCACTGAGAGCAAAGTACACCAGAAAAGCAAGGAATCTTTTGGGGGAAAACAGTTGTAGAAGACTAAATTCTAGGATAAATGAAAGATTTGCCTCCTAATTCTCTAGGGTAGTAGACACAGCTCAGAACGTGAAACAATGCAATGAACCAATAAGGCCTTAACAAAAGAAATCTGGGATGTCCTCTCTTGAGAAATACTTCCACTCCACAGATTTCCACAACCCTGTGTTGCCATAGTCTATAGGGTAGGACTATGTTTAGAGTCCTCTCCTTTCTAGCTCTAGGATCTTTATGGATTGTTACAGTCCAACCTTTTACCTGGATGAAGACATCAGTGCACATAATTCTTCTCCCATGTTCACCTGGGAACAGAAAAATCTAGGTAGGGTGGGCAGATCCTACTCTTGATAGAAATGCAGGCTCTCCTAGGTCTGATTTTATCATTACCTAGGAAGTGTCCATTTACTCTCCTTTCATAAAACTGAATTTCTAGGGGCACAGAGTAATACTCAAAAGTTGGGGCTCTTGCATGATAGAAACTGGATTCACATCCCAGTTCTGCCATGTGCCAGGTAAGCCTGAGAAAGTTACTTCACTTCTCCAGGCCTCAATTCTTCCATCTGTAAAATGGGGATTACAATGGTGACAACTTCACTGGATCATTATAAGGATTGTATAGTATATGATCTGGGTAAAGTGTGTAGCACAGTGCAGGGCACACTGGAGGGACACTGAAGGAACGGTTCTTGCTGTCATCGAGACAAGCAGATTAACTCTGAAGACTTTTAATTAATTTAAAAATCACAACAGCCCCAAATTAATGATACTTGTTTAGAAAGATCACTGACTCCAGGAAAATAGCAGAGTAAAAACACAGGTAAAGGTAAAGCAGCCATGACAGGCTGAGCAGAATGAGGTGCAGCCATTGTGCAGGTAATATATATTTTTCAACTAACTATCAATATGCAAAATATCTCTGAAAGGAAATGCTTTCAGAAAAGAAATGATAATATTGGCTGACTCTGGGGATGGCTGCAGGACTGGGGTGGGAATTTTTTACTTTAGGTGCATTAGTACTTCTTGAACCTGGGGGGGGGAGGGGATGTATTATCTATTTAAAAATACAATTTAAAATTTGCAATACCATTTGCATCTCTATGTTTATCCCTCTCTTACAGGCATGTGAACCAGGTGCTACTTCAATTCTCTACCCAGTGGTACCTGTTCAAACAGGGGTCATGGTGTCCAGAAAGAACGGTATACAGGTGCATATCTTGTATATTTGTTACTATTGGTTATGGTTAATGTTAACATCACAAGGTTCATTTAATAAGCCATTTGTGTTTCTATCAAGTGCACCCTCTGGCTTTTGGAATATGGGCAGACTGTCCTGATGTCTTTCAACAGTCCCAGTGGTAATGGGAACAACAGTGATGACAGGTCCCAATTTTCATGTTACAGTCAATGTCTATTTGAGACAAACATTTGATGAGCAGCTACTAAATGTTATATATATCTGTGATAAGCCCTGGGGTTACAAAAGATATCCAAGAGGAATTAGCAAGTAGTGGAGGCAGATAAAGAAGAGATAAAGGAAGAGAAAGTCTAATAATCAAGCTGTCCGGGAGCAACTTTCCAATAACAGAATCAAGCTTGAGGCCTGTTCTCTGGATTTGCTATAATACTTTCAGGTATAATTTCTATAAGTATCCCTAGAATATGGTATTGTCTACTGATAGCCCCTTCCTCCTTATGTGGTTAAAAGATCCAGCCCATCTGAACATCAGAGTAGTACTGTCCTAAGACACAGCAATCATAGTAATTGATAAGCTAACAGTGACAGGACCAAGTGAGCCTGTGATCCAAGCTAAGCTCATCACAACTTATCTCTGAGACAAAGAAGAATATGCATCTAGAGCTCCCAGTAGGCATGGCTCTAGCCTTCAGGAAAAAAAAAAAAAAGGAGGGGGGGGGGGCTGAGAGTGAGCAGAATGTACAAAAGATAACCAGGGAGGAGATGAGGAGAGAGGGAGTGAGTGAAGCAGAATGTACAAAAGATAACGAGGGAGGAGATGAGGGGTAGGGAGAGGGGGAGGGCAGTGGGAGGGAATGAGAATGAATGATGTTTGAGTCCCTGCTTCCAGTTCAGCCTGTCTTTACCACAGGCCAATTAATTTCTCTTCTTTAAAAAAAATATATTTTATTGATTTTTTACAGAGAAGAAGGGAGAGGGAGTTAGAGACATCGATGAGAGAGAAACATCGATCAGCTGCTTCCTGCACACCCCCTACTGGGGATGTGCTTGTAACCAAGGTACATGCCCTTGACTGGATTCAAACTTGGGACCCTTCAGTCTGCAGGCCGATGCTCCATCCGCTGGGCCAAACCGGCTAGGGCTTACTTTCTCTTTTTGACGAAATAAGCTGGAGGTGATTTTTAACATTTGAAGCCAAAAGAGACCTTGACAAACATGGCTCCTACTTCTTGAAACAAAAGTAGACTAACACACCTGATACCATGTAATAAGAGCTACATATTAGAATTAAGATAACCTGAGAGAACACAAAGTGAGAAGTGATGGATTCTACCTGTTATGGGAAGAAAGACTGAGTCAGTTATGGGAAGAAAGACTAATACAGCTGGCAGTTATTTAACCAAATCAAGACCAAGCAGCCAACAAAAGGGTAAGAGAAATCTAGCACTGTGTTAGAGAATATCAATAGATTAAATAAAAATGTACGTGGAAGCACATTTTAAAAGTCATTAATTGCCACATGCTAAGAATTTTGGGCTTTAATCGGTAGGCAGTGGAAAGCAGGTCAAGCCTTTGAAATTCTCTTGAGGGTAAACCTGAGACAGAATGGAAGGGCTCATTTCTAAAAGAAAGGGCTTAGTTCTTATCTTAGCTATATTAGAGTCTAATCAGTGGTTGGCAAAACTCATTAGTCATTAGAGCCAAATATCAACAGTACAATGACTGAATTTCTTTTGAGCCGAAAACTGACTTTTGTGCATGGGCCACGAAGTTTCAATAGCACTGTATGTGTGCACCAACGTGGTATTTTGTGGAACAGCCACACTCAAGGGGCCAAAGAGCCACATGTGGCTCGAGAGCCACAGTTTGCCGACCACTGCTCTAGACTCTTGTTTGCAAGTTGCAGAAACCCTGCTCTAGTTAGTTTAGGAGACAGAGGAAGAGGAAGAGGAAGAAGATCACAGGCTCGCCCCTTGGTCCTGTCACTGTTAGCTTATGAATTACTATGATTGCTGTGTCTGAGGACAGTACTACTCTTTTCAGATGGGCTGGATTTTTTTAAAAAAATATATTTTATTGATTTTTTACAGAGAGGAGGAGAGAGGGGATAGAGAGCTAGAAACGTCGATGAGAGAGAAACATCGACCAGCTGCCTCTTGCACCCCCCCCACTGGGAATGTGCCGGCAACCAAGGTACATGCCCTTACCGGTATCGAACCCGGGACTCTTCAGTCAGCAGGCCGACACTCTACAACTGAGCCAAACCGGTTTTGGCTGGGCTGGATCTTTTAACCACATAAGGAGGCAGGGGCTATCAGTAGACAATATCGTATCCTAAGTATACTTATAGAAATTATAAGTATAGGGGAGAAAAAGGCATTGGCTCATGGAATCCAAGAGTTGAATACCCAAGCTATGTGCAAGTCAGGACACAATGAATACAACTGTGTTCAAGGCAGGTAGGCTGGCATTTTCCCTTGTTCATTTAGCTTCTCCCTGCATGTGGGTCCTCTCTCTCTCTCCAGATGTTCTGCACGTGGTACAGATCAGGGCTCCCAGAAATCTCAAGTTATATGTGATGTAGTCCCAGCTTTTAAGGAAAAGTTGACTGTCAACAATAACCAACCCGTCAAGGTCCCAATTATTTAGATAGGTTTTTGTAGGTTTGTTTGTTGCTATAAAGAACAGATTATCTCAGGCAACCTTTAAAGAAAAATCTCTAGTGTCTAGTGCACTACATGTCACATAACCTGGTGCTCAATAAATATTTGTTGGAGGAATGGAATGGGAAGGAAACAATAAAGAAAAGGATGTATTAGACTAGAGATTCACAGCCCAATATGGTAGCCACTAGTGGCTATTGAGCACTTAAAATGTGTTCAATTTGAGATATGCAGACTGGACAAAAAAAGCATGTAAAACATCTCCACCTCCTCTAAGTAAGCGTGCACTAACCAGCAGCTATTAAGGCCAAATAGGTTTTATTTGGATTCTACAGGTTAAAAAAACAAACAAAAAAAACTTTTATAAAATGAGTCACCAACATTTAAAATTCAGATTTCACTAAATTCTTATTTTAGGTTTTTCTTGTAATATTGGAAGACATTTTCTCTTCATCCCATTTGTGCAATTATTTTATTCTTTGTGCTATTTGTTTTTTATAAGCTATCTTGTATTCTACTAGGCAAAGAATGAGTTACTAAATAGCTACATGTTCAGGACTTGCAATGTGGTGAGGAGACGCAGAGCTGATTAAGCACCAAACTCGGTCCCAGAAGAACTTAATGAGGAAACATAAAAGGATGTGGGGGCATTATTTCATTGCCTAGCTCAATTGTGTCAATGATCATCTGTCACTCACATTCATATTTAAAAGTGACTACATATAAATTTTATATATTTCATTTACAACATAATATAGTGCCCAGCCTCTGGAGTCAGATTGCCTGTGTTCAAATCCCAGCAAATTGTGTGACGTGGAGCAAGTTCCTTAATCTCTCTATGGTTCACTTTCCTCAACTGTAAAATGAGTATAAAAATACTACCTATATCATAGAATTATGAGATTTAATATAAATAATAAACATTAGTGGCATCTGTAATTATAATTGCTGCAACTCCTCCTCACGTTACTATTATTATTATTACCCACAGCCTGTCAGGGACAGTCCTAAAAGTGAACTCTGATTTAGGGAAAAACAGATCTAAGTGAACAATTGAGACTGGATGGGGCAAAAGATGGGAAAAAACACTGATAATTTAGCTCCAAGGTGGAAAGTAGAAAACTCTGAATTCAGTGGGAATTGCTACAAAGGTGTTGGAATTCAACTCCGGTAAACTCTTAACACTTAAAAGAGCAGTGTTGTTGTTTTCCTGAGATTAAAAAATACAAAACTTCAATTAGCAGAAAATAAAAATAATAAGGTGGATTTGGAGAACATTGTATTTAGTTTTCAGGAGAATGAAACAAATATAAAATTTTTTCAGATTTATTAAAAAAAACCAATAACTTTTGGGATAAGAACAGCTTCATCCATGTGTTAATTTATGCCATGTTTCAATTTAAATGCTACCAGGGCGCAGGGTAGAACAGTTTAAGACAGTAATCAAAAAGCCTTCACCATGACTAGACCTCTCAGGTCAATTTCGTCATCTCAAGGCTGAAGATTGAACCTTACAAGTGATCCCTGTCCAAGCCCCTCATGTTACGAAAGATGAAAAGAAAGCCCTTGGAGGCTAAATAATTTGTCCAAATTCCACGGAAGTTTTTATGGCTGAGCAAGTTATGTCTAAAGAGTAATGACGTCTTAACTACAGCAGTGAGTGCTTGCTCCTATTGGCCATTAAGCAGTTTCCAAAAAACAAACAAACAAACAAACAAATAAATAAAATAAATTCATTTGCCTCTCAGCATAACCATTATTGCTTGTCCCATTTTCGGTTCTTATAAGCGTATTTCTAGTATCACATGAGCTCACTCATCTAGGGGAAATGATGAACAACACAGACTGATGAACAAGAACAGCATCGATCAGACTGTCGGGCCTCAGAGGGAAGGCAGGGGAGGGCGGGGATGAGGGAGAGAGACCAACCAAAGGGCTTGTGTGCACGCATATGAGCCTAACCAGTGGTCACGGACAACAGGGGGTGGAGGCATGGGTGGAGAGGAGTTTGGGATGGGAATGGAGGGGGGGGGTGTTTGATGACAAATTTGTGATACCTTAATCAAGTGTTTCCCAAACTTCTCTCATGATGAGAATCACCTGGTGGAGTTGTTAAACTACAGATTCCTGAATCCCAACTAAAAAGTGCTAAACTAGAATTTTGGGGAACATATAGGTAAAATTGTATACTTAACTAGTGCTCCCAAAATTTCTAGTTTAGCACTTCTTAGTTGGGATTCAAGAATCTGTATTTTAACAACTCCACCAGGTGATTCTCATCATGAGAGAAGTTTGGGGAACACTGCAAAATCAATAAAGTAATTAAAATAATAAATAAATAAATAAATAAATAAATAGATAAATAAAAATTTTAGTAGCGGACCAAAGGAGTTGCGGAAGCCTTGAGATGACCTACAGCAATTTTCACGGGGGCGGGCGGGGGAGGGGGGTTGGCATGCGGGAATCCGCAGGCCAGAGCTGGCGGCGGGTGTAGCCGTCCGACAGCCCGCGGTCCCTCACTCCCGCGGACGCTAATGGCCTGGCTCCGGGCCCACTGCAGCCGGAGGAGGGGCCCAGGGCCTCCGGGCCCAGAGCGAGGCGCGCCTCCAGCCGAGCGACCGGGTCCTACCTTCTCGCGTGCCGGCCGGCAGCCGAGGGGCCGCAGAGCCCAACCCTGGAGGGTGCACCAGAGTTTGCGGAGCCGGGCGCCGGGCCTGGAGGGTCCGAGGTGAGAGAGGAGTCCGGCTGCACGCCGGGGCCGGGAGAGGGAGACCCGCAGCGGCCGCGGCGCCTCTTACCCGCTTGGGGCCCTCTCAAGCGGATCATCGGAAAGGCAGTCGGCGAAGGCCCGCCCCGCTGGAGGTTCGCTCGGGTTTCGGAGCAGCAAGCTGTGGACGCCTCGTCGCCATGGAGACGACGCCACTTGCGGCCGGAGTCCCGGGAGCCGCCGCGGAAGGCGGCGGAAGGGGCGGGGCTTGCACGTGGAGAACTCAGGGAGCTGAGAAGGGGCGTGGCGGGGATGGGCCGCGCCTGGGGAGCAGCAGCTGGCGCGAGACGAAGCGGGCGAGACGGGGCGGGCCCAGGCTCCGCCTGCGAAGTGGGACGGACGGGGCGGGGCGTGCCTGGGTCTGGGCAGAGGGGGCGGGGCGTGCCTGGAGCCGGGCTGAGGGGGCGGGGCGTGCCTGGGGCCCGGCTGAGGGGGCGGGGCGTGCCTGGGTCTGGGCGGAGGGGGCGGGGCGTGCCTGGAGCCGGGCTGAGGGGGCGGGGCGTGCCTGGGGCCCGGCTGAGGGGGCGGGGCGTGCCTGGGGCCCGGCTGAGGGGGCGGGGCCAGGCGAGCCTGGGCGGAAGCTGCGGGACGGGGCAAGGGTGGGGCGGGGGCGGAGTACGTTCTGTGAGTCACGGCAGGTTCGGGGCGCCAAAAGCAGGCCCAAGAGAGCCCCTTGGTTCTCGGGGTCTCGCCGCGCAGTGGATTCGGTGCGCAGATCCTCGGACGCACGTCCGCACGCTCCCCGGTTACTTGGAGAAGGGCAGAAGGGAGGGAGAAGGAGATATCCTTGTCCATACCTGACCCTGTTCTCGGTGGGAAGAGGGGGAAGGGCATGGTGGCCTCGGCGGAGTTTAAATTTGTGGAGGGAAGGGAATGCTCAGCCTTGCACCGAGGCAGAGAGGGTTCTCTCTGAATGCGAATGAACAAATGTCCCCTGCAGGTCTTGGTCCCTCAAACCTGAGGTCGCCCCAAGAAGATGATGGGTTTCCTAAGGGATCTCTGGGCGCCAGTCTCCACAAGTCAGATTCGAGTGACTGGAACCGGGGACCCGCCTCTGCCACTAACCCCTGCCGAGTCCCAAGTGAAATCGACACTGGCCAATGGGAGGTTTTACTGACTAGCTGACTGTTTTGGTCACAGAAGCGGGTGGGGAAGAACATCATTAAACAATTCTAATTGTTCTCCAAGCTTGGCTTCTAGGACGGAATTGGTTGGTTTTTTTCCACTTAAGATGCGCAAGTCACGAGGATCGATTTGTTGCTAGGCAACGTGTTATGAAGGAAGCCTGTTGGAATCAAAATCTTGATTTGAATTTCACTGAGAAGCTCTGATATGAGGTTTAGTTGCTATTTAACCTTTGGACTAGGTGCCATCTGGGAATATGTACCTTGGTAGATGGTTGTGAGCTTCAAATGACACAAAAGACAGTATGTGGCAATTTTAAATTAGTTTATTATTACTATTATTAAAAATAGAACCAGCTGAACCATTTCAGGAACCAAAAGTGTGTAAAGTGTCCGTTATTTTAATTAAATCATTTCTCCGTATTCATTCCAAATTTCCTTGGAACCCTGGATGGAAAGAAGAGGCAGAGGGATAAAGCCAGAATGGAAGTTTTTTTTAAAGAACTCAATGAAGTCATTGATAAAAACATCCCTTGTTTGATAAGGACATAGCAAGCCATTACCTCTGTTGTAGAAACACCCGTGCATAGCCGATATCTGAAGTTTTTGTTCAAATAGGCAAAGGGAAAATCATTATATTTCTTGGTGAGTATCTTTGAAAAGTCAGTTTTGATGAATTTGCTTTGTATTGATAATGAGTGATGTCTGACTGGCTATTCCCATTGTTCTACTCCAAGGAAAGTAAGAAAACCTACTCTAGCTGATTAAGCTGCCTCCTCCTATATACCCTCTTCCAACAGAAGATCAAGATCATTTGTAGAATACAGTGTCTTCAGTGTTTATTGTTCCTGAAAGAAGGGGCAAAATGGTTTAATGACCTTTGAGCATAAAAATATTTTCTCCACGTGGAGGGTGACTTTTCTAGCTTTTACCTTGGGCTTCAGGATCTTCAAGTGCAAAGTGGTGATAATATACACTATCTGCCCCCAAAAGCTCAAAACATGAGAGAAAATAATAACACAGAGTATGGCACATGACAACTGATCAATAGCTCAGCTATTATTACTACTTCTGTATATGAATAAAGGGAAGCTGCCTGGCCCAGTGCCTATACATAGTGGTTATTTTATTTCTCACTGATGAAAAAACATTTTATCTTTGTATAATTTCAGAAATAATTCACCTATCTCTGTAACTTGTATACAAAAGTTATTGGTGTAATACTCAAAAGTAGAGCACAATTTAGCCCTGTTTCATGATTCAGACCACTGAATAAATTACCAAAAGTATATATCTAGTGAGCATTTGTTTTAACAAAATAATAGGGAAAAGCCAGACACTCATACAAATGTTGAACCACCCTACAGCAAATACCTTTTATTAAACCCCATGGAGATATATATATATATATATATATATATATATATATATATATATATATATAAATTTAAATTAAATATATATATTTTTAATTTGAAATTTTTATTGATTCCAGAGAGGAAAGGAGAGGGAGAGACAGAAACATTAAAATGAGAGACTCATTGATCGGCTGCTTCCTACAACCCCCCAACTGGGGATCAAGCCCTTTACTGGAATTGAACCTGTGACTCTTCACTCCACAGGTTGAAGCTCTATCCACTGAGCCCAAATGGCTAGGGCTCCATGGTTTTTTTTATTTATTATTATTTAAAAAAAAATACATTTTATTGATTTTTTACAGAGCGGAAGAGAGAGGGATAGAGAGTTAGAAACATGGATGGGAGAGATATATTGATCAGCTGTCTCCTGCACACCTCCTACTGGGGATGTGCCTGCAGCCATGGTACATGCCCTTGAACAGAATTGAACCCAGGATCTTTTAGTCCACAGACTGACGCTCTATTCACTGAGCCAAAACGGTTAGGGCTAGAATTATTTATTTATTTATTTATTTATTTTGGTGACATTATTTTATTTTACTTTATTTTTTACATTTTAATTGATTTTATTTATTTTTTATTTTTTTATTTATTTTTAAAATATATTTTATTGATTTTTTTTTGCCCCCCTCCCTCCCTCCCACACATCCCCTCCCTCCCCAGAGTTTTGTGTCCATTGGTTGTACTTATATGCATGTATAAAAGTCCTTCGGTTGATCTATTATCTCCCCCATCCATGGGTTTTAATAGATAAATTTTTATTACAGATCTGAATGTTAACAGAGCATTATAAAAATGTTTAAATAATATTTGGTGCTCTGATTATAAAAAACATACTCATGACAATTTGCAACACATAGAAAAATGCAAAGAAAAAATAAAAACCACCTCAATCAATAATTTAACCCTTTTTGTGTCCATATATATTTATAAGATTTGTATTAGTGCACACATTGTAGTCATCCCTTTTTGCTTAACATTTTCTCTAATGCCTTAACATTTTCTAATGTCTTTTAAAAAGTATTGAAAACATTTTAATGGTCATACATAATATGTATAAACCACAATTTACCCATAATTATTTAACTAGTTACCCATTTGGAAAGTTCCAACTTTTCTCCTGTAATTCATTCTTCCAAAAATACTTATTGAGATTTTTCTGGATGCTAAGTGCTATGCTAGGCATATGACTTAAGTGGTGAACAATAACTGTAAATATAAGGTTTTGATGAACACCCTTGTAAATAAATTTTTGATGGCATCTTTTATTCTTAGACTGAATTTCTAGAACTATGGAAACAACTTCAAAAAGCATTTTTTTTTTCCTGGTTCAAAGACAAACTTAAAATAAAATCCTGAACTGTAAAATATTAACTTTTTGGAAAATTGCCAACAGACTTAATATTTATTTTGTGCAAAGTGTGAACTTACCCAGAAGATGCTTTCTCGTTAGTGACTGTGAAACATCAAGGGTGGTTGAAGTGTATTGACTTTGGCTTTTATCTCTAATTCTTTCCAGGATTTGCAGGTTTTCTCAATAGTGTGAGATTGTTTGAAGTCTATGCAAATTGCCCTACTTCCTCCCCTCACAGTTAAAACGTTAACTATTTTATTTCTAGCTTTCCTCTTGTAAACATATGGCTTTTCTAAATTTCTTTCGTTTACCTTCCTGTGTGAAACATTTTGTATTTTCACACTTTTTAACTTTTAAACCCAAGTTGTAATACACACATTCCTATGGTACTGACATACCCTGTAGTTAATTTTGGTCAAGAAACAACATGTAAATTAGCCAATGTATTTAGAGGATTTCATAATAAAGATTATTTATTAAAATAACCATCTCAATACACACACACACCACTACCACCAATGTTTGACAATAAAATGTTTAAACACAGGCTTGAGCCATATCAAATAGTCATTTGTGGATTAAAAAAAATAGTCAAATAACTTCATGTGATTTTATCTATATATGTCATTAACTAGTTTATGATTTTTCTCAACTTTCTCCAAATATTAAACTTCCTGATTATTATAAGGACTTCCTTTATTATTACGCAGATTGGGTTTGCTTTGACTTTCATAAATACTGGAATCTAGTCAGGAGAGTTCCATAAAATGTTTGTTTATTATTGCAGAAACAGTAGAGGGAGCCTGGAGCCAAAGCATTGTTTATTTAGGCTTCCCATAAACGATGATTGTCTTCCAAGTCTTGAGATGTGGTTGAATTTAAATACTAGTATATATGTGATATAGCAATCTCCTCCCCTGCCCCCTAAATAACCACTTCAATTGGAAAGGGAAGGTTGGCTGCCAGCTAGACTTCATCAGGGTTCATGCTGGAATCAGCCTGCCTCCCATTGTCCTCTGGGTGATGCTGGAGACAGCACACTGCCACAATGACATATTTGTGCTCCACAATTTCCCCCTTTCCAACCCATAATGTAGACCATCCATTACCATGGGCATTACATCATGATTGTTGATTTCATCAGAACTTCAAAAATCTTACTAAAGTGACTATAGTTCAGTTGGCTGCTTCCTCCAGACACGTAAGGAGACACTTTGATCCTATCTTGAAAGCACATCCTTTTGGGAAGGTAATAAATTGCCAATCCTTTCACTGAGCGGCAAATTTTATTTCCCTTAATTAAAGATGATGTGTCTTGATGACCTCTCCTCAACCATCTTCATCCTCAGTATCCTGGGTTTTTGTTAACTTCTCC